TAAAGGGAGCTGCTTAAGGCCATAAAACCCACAGGGGTGGGCAGGAGTCTCCCATCAGAGGCAGCCCCCCTTCTCTATAACACCTGGTTATTTAGTCCAACTGGGCCATTTAGGCTGCCTCACATATTTTCTGTTATTCTTTTGTGTCATAGGACCCTTGATGCACATAACACATATATTCTGATGGCTGCTTTGCCATCTGGTGATGAAATTCACAGATGATGTGAGATTGAATCATGAGTCTCCCTTGAGATTGAAATTGTCATATTTACAGGTAAAAGAACCATTAAATCTGTAATCCTTGCACTCTGGGAGACAGAGGAGGGTGAATCGCCTGAGCTCACAGGTTCAAGACCAAGAGCGAGACACTGTCTCTAAAAAAATGGCCAGGCATTGCGGTGGGTGCCTATAGTCCTGGCTACTTGAAAGGCTGAGGCAAGAGGATCATTTGTGCTTAAGAGTTTGAGGTTGCTGTGAGCTATGATGTTACAGCACTCTACCGAGGGTGACAAAGCAAGACTCTGCCTTAAAAAAAGAAAGAAAGAAAGAAAGAAAAGAACCATTGAATATCAGTAAATCACATGGTTCAATCTAATACAACCTGCCTATATATGATTAAAAAATATAATACTCTAATTGTAATATAAAGAAGAAATAAAAGTCATTACAATAAAATATCATGTATTATGTTGCACTGATGATACTGCTCTAATTAATAATGAAATGGTTTGAATTTAAGAGAAGAAGCAAAAAAGATCAGAAGCTTTTTTGTATACAAACAGGAGAATGAATGAATGAACATAGCTAAGTGGCTGACAGAATAAAAATCTCCATTCCCTGAATATTAAGATTGCCAAAAAATATTTGTATTTAGACCCCACACAGGGTCAGGGTCTAGGCTTAGGTAATTATAAGCGTGAATGTAGGTTTTTTCATCTTAAGAACGTCTGGTGGGGTAATCAAAAGTTGTGGGGATGTGGGGAAGTCTTTGTGGGAGTGAACCTTGCATGGGCCAGCATCTAGTGTCCTTGCCACGTCGCCAACTATGTTCCAAAAACCAGGTGCCCCATACCCCCGTCACTGGACAGCCAGAGAGCAAAGCCTTTTCTGAAATGCCCCCGGGAAGGTGCTTGTAGAGCACCTCTGCCTGGTGAGGCCACGCCCTGGGCAGGGAGCATCGCTTAGGGCAGCGGTTCTTAGCCTGTGAGTTGTGACCCACAGGAACTGTATTAAAGGGCTGTGGCATTAGGAAGGTTGAGAACCACTGGCTTAGGGTTGTGAGCGTCCAATTACCGGGGAGCTGAAGATCTCCTTCTGGTTGAAGATTAGATGCAGCTCAGCTGCTGGAGATAACTTTTCTACTTCCAGCCAAAGCCGCACCTCTCCTCGCTCGAGGATGTCAACGTTCCAGCCGGAGATGAGTTTGATCACTGGGAAGCACAGGATGGGAAGGGGGTGGGTGGCCCCCTCTCCCTTCCCTACTCCCCACCAGCCCCTCCTTGAGCAGGCTGTTGGCATTTGACACATAAGATGCTTGGAGAGCCTGCAGAATTGTGTCTGGGGTGGGGGTCTGAGGAGGGCTGTCTGCATGCTCATTCTAAATTTCATTAGTCTCAGGGAAGCGTCTTCCCTTCTAAGAGCTCTGAAGCTGTGGCATGCAGCCTGGCTGGGCATGGATCCCTGTGGCCTTTCAAAAACACTAGAGAGGATTCTGGGGCATGGCCTGGGCATCAGGATTTTGAAAAGCTCTCAGAGTGATTCTAATACATATCCAAGTTTGTGACTCTCTGCTCTAGGCAGTGAGGTTTATATGACCCAAAATCCAAATGAGCAGGGAGACGGTAAGAATTATTCTAAAAAGAGGAAACCATCTACACTCCCCTCCCAGGCAGCCCCTCTATTCTCTGCTGGCTGCTTATCTCCTTTCATGACTCCTGGGGTCTCGGGCCTTCAAGCCCCGTGACACTCCCATCCTTTGCCTCCTGAGTTATCTTCTGGCTCATGGCTTGACTTGGTTCTGCTCAGAACACTCTGGTGGCCCCCATGGGAGCTGCACAATGCTGGTGGCTGGGACTGCTTACCTGGGTTTCTGATCTGGTGACTCAACTTCTTCAGTTTCTCTAGCTCTGCAATAGGGAGAAGCAAGGAAGAAAGCAGAGAGAGTGAATTATCCAGGCCGGGGGTTTCCACAGGAGCCATCCTAGGGTCCCATGCACAGTGAAAGTCCCAAGAGAGACCCCCCAACTTGGGGCCACTTAGCTCCATAGGGTTGAGGATGTGCACTGCGGGTCTTTGTCTTGGGGTGTCAAGGGAGGTGCCGGGGCTGCTGCTGGCCACCCTAAGATTATGTCTTCTCTCTGTCCTTCAAGGTCTGGGTTAAGTCTCACCCCAGAGAAGCACCTACTATGCATCAGACTCAGTATTATTATCTCCTAAGTGCTCAGCTGTGGGCTGAGTCACTGTCCACTTCCAGGACACGCCAAGCCCACTGATGCCAGAGCCCCACTGTTAACCCACTGAGACATGCAGTCCTAGTGTCTGAGGGTCTGTACCACACTCCAAGCACTTCAGTCCAGAAGTTTCTGGGCTGTTTTACAGAATGCTGTCTCAATTGCTGACTACTTTTTGGGGGGGGGACGGGGGGACAGAGTCTTAAGCTTTCACCCTAGGTAGAGTGCTGTGGCGTCACAGCTCATAGCAACCTCAAACTCTTAGGCTTAAACGATTCTCTTGCCTCAGCCTCCCAAGTAGCTAGGACTACAGGCACCCACCACAATGCCTGGCTATTTATCTTTTGGTTGCAGTTGTCATTGTTGTTTAGCAGGCCCGGGCCAGGTTCGAACCCGCTACCCCTGATGTATATGGCCAGCGCCCTGCCGAATGAGTCCCGGGCTTCGCCTGCTGACTACTTCTTTGTGTTAGGTTTTTCTCTCCCACTAAGGTAAGCTCTGAACCTACATGAGCGTCTGACACACAGTAGGTGCTGAATAAATATATTCGTGTAGGTGAATTGGCAGGAGCAGAGCCCATGCCTCATTTTCCTTTGGAAGTCCCAGAGTCCTTAGCATGGTGAGTACAGACTCATGGTAAGCTCGTGGTCAAAAAAAAAAAAAAAAAGACTCCATCCTTTTTGGGGGTGGCTTTAGTTTACATAGAGTCATCTAATTGTATCTGCATTACAACATTCTTTAAATTGGGGCAGTCAGGGATTATAATCCCCCTGTGTAGGTGAGGAAACTGAGGTCTGTTTGTCCAGGCTCAAACAGCCAGCAAACTATGCAACTGGAATTGGGACCTTGGGCTTCTGCTTCTTAACAGAACCAAGGGCCTCATGTATAAAGGACCCAGAAGACATAGGCAAGTTGCTATGGAGACAGCAGAGAGTGTGTCTCATTAGTCATGAGCATGGGTTTTGGTTTAGTTTAATTTAGTGACACAGATGGTCCTTTTGAAGTGGTGTTCACTCTCAGGTTAGCCACAGTCCCCACTGCTCCCTAGTACAGCTTTGTTTCTCAGACCAGTTATTGATTGCAATTTGTCATCACATCTGCACGCACTATTGCCATTCCTAGGCTATAGAAGGAAGCAAAATAATTCTTGCCTCTTTGCCATTACCAAATGTAGGAAAGTGAAAGAAAAATGAGAAGGATGTGAATTCCACCAGGCAGGGATTTTTGCCTGTCAAGTTCACTGACGTAATCTCAGGGCATAGGAGGATACCCGATATTTATTGATTGACTAAGTGAATGAGTGGGTGAGAGCCACTGAATTTCTGTGAAAATTGTCACTTTTCTCATTTTTGTTGCCCTGGCTGGCCTCTATGGGTGTTGCATCTGGGACTCTTGGTCTGGGACCGTTCCTCTAGAGAGGTGGCAGGGGCTGGGGGCATGGGCATTACCTTCCTCAGTCAGCGTGTGGCTTGCTGAGATGTCTTCATCCGCATCGGTGACCACCACTGAGTAGGTGCCCAAGTCCTCAAGGCCAGGTTCCTTCAGGATAACCTTGGACCTGGCAGAGGGAGGAAAGTAGAGGTTCTGTGAGGAGCTCCTTGCCCTTGTGTGTTGGAGGCCTAGGGAATGGATGATCTCGGCCACCTTCAGTGGCCCAGGACCCTCTTGTAAAGCCCAGCTTCCCTCAGTGAAGGTTCCAAAGTCAAGAGCAGAGGAAGCCAGGTCCAGAGAACTTGTAAGAGCAAGAGTCTGACATCCAGATTAGAAACCAAGTCCTGAGGGTCTCTTCAGAGGTGCTGCAGCAGCGGAAGAATCCCCCAAAGAATGGCACCAATTTAGACCCTTAAATGCACACTCTCCACCCTTGTCCGTGAGAGGGCAGTCAGCATCCTCCGTGGAAGACCAGGCAGTGCCTTTCACCAGTCACCTGAGTCCCCTCTCTGGTTTCACTCCCAGGTTCTGCCAACTTCTCTGACAGTATGTGGCACCCGTTTCTGCTCCTCTCCCCCCACTTACTTGTTATCTTTATCCTCAATCTTGACCCTCTGGGGGTCTGGTGGACCCTTGTAGTCTTTGGACCACTGAAATTCTGAGGAGTCAGGAGCTTCCGGGGCTTCGAAAGCTAAGTAGATAAAGCCCTCTTCATCCACACCGACCTCGATCTCCCGGGCTTCTGAGGGCAAGATCCAACAGAGGGCACCGGACATTTAGACATAATAAACCAGGCCATGCCCTCCCCAGCTTAAAGCTTCCGGCGCCTGCCCATCACACTTGAATAAGATAATAAACTTGACTTCTTGCCATGGCTGCCAAGGCCTCACATGCTCTGGCTCCTTCTCTGGTCAAATGTCACCTCCTCTGAGAGGCCCCGCCTGACTGCCTGAACCAAGTAACCCTGCCCCACCCTACACCCTGCGATATTTCCTTTATAACCTGTGTCATTGTCTAACTCACCTTCCTGATTCGTTCCCTGTCCCTCTGCCCCCCACCTCACCCCACGCACCGGAGCGGTGACCCTGCCTTCTCATTCACTCCTGTATCCCCAGTGCAATGTGGGCATCACCAAATATTAGTTGAATAAATGTATAATTAAAAGAATGGGCTTTATAGTTAGGAGACCTGAGTGATGCTATCATATACTAGTTGTGTGACCTGAGCATGAGCTATAATAAAATCAGTTCTAGGGCGGCGCCCGTAGCTCAGTGTGTGGGGCACTAATCACATACACTGAGGCTGGCAGGTTCGATCCCCACCCGGGCCAGCTAAAACAACAATGACAACTGCAACAAAAAAATGACCAGGCATTGTGGTGGGTGCCTGTAGTCCCAGCTTCTTGGGAGGCTGAGGCAAGAGAATCGCTTAAGCCCAAGAGTTGTAGGTTGCTATGAGCTATGATACCACAGCACTCTACCCAGGGTGACAGCTTGAGACTCTGTCTCAAAACCCCCCCACCAAAAAAATCAGTTGTATTTTTTTTTTTTTGGAGTTTTCTTTGGCTGGGGCTGGGTTTGAACCCACATGGGGCCGGTGCCCTACTCCTTTGAGCCACAGGTGCTGCCCCCAAAAATCAGTTCTAAAGGGGGCACAATGACCATTTGCTCAGGACCAGGGAGGTGTGAGGACCTGGCATGGCATCACACTTCTCTCCTCCCCTTGAGCTCCACCTATGCTTCATGGCACAGCTTGGCAGCAGCGCCAATACCCCTGGCCACGCTTACCTGGCTTGTCCTGCAGAAGCACAGGATCCGTGGGCAGAGACGGCTGCCCCAGACCTGCTGAGTTCATGGCCTGCACCTGGAACACATAACTCTTTCCTGGCTGCAAGTCAGAAACCTGGGGGCGGGAAGGGGAGGCAGCAATGAGGACAGAGTGACTTATACTCTTCCCTAAACCCTGGCCTTGGGGTGCAGGGATCCACTCATTTGTGGACCCCTGATGAGAGCACAGGCTGACTGGGGGGAGGGGCAGGCAATGAGCACATCCCTCTGTTGAGTTCCAGGCCCCAGTTCCAAGGTTTTCACCAGCCTCTCTACCTGGGTAATCTCCCAGGCATGTGGCACCTAGAACTCCACCCCCGAGTCTGAACACTTCATCTACCTCCCAACCAAAACACCGGCTTCCTTCCTGTGTCCCTGTCTTTCCCGGTGACACAGCTACCCATCTAATACCCCAGAGTGGCCCAGGGGTATCTGTGACATCCTTTTATTGAGGCCTCCTCCTCAACCACCAGTTCTCTCTTTCTTTCTTTGAGATAGTCTCACTTTGTCACCCTTAGCAGAGTGCTATGGTATCATAGCTCACAGCAACCTCAAACTCCTGGGCTCAAGTGATTCTTTTGCGTCAGCCTCCCAAGTAGCTGGGACTACAGGCACCTGCCACAACACCTCGGCAGTTTTTAGAGATGAGGGTCTCATTCTTGCTCAGGCCAGTCTTGAACTCTTTTTTTTTTTTTTTTGAGACAGAGCCTCAAGCTGTCCCCCTGGGTAGAGTGCTGTGGCATCACAGATCACAGCAACC